GTGGCTCCAGTGAACCACACGGTGATGGAGGAGGTGAGGATGGACTTAATGAGTCCCTCTGCTGTTGGACTCTTGAACACTTCTTAACCTGTCCCACCGCCCCTTATAAAGTCACTTTACTGCCCATCATACGTCACTTTACTTCACCGTACTGCTGTCACCTTACATTGTGTGCACCTTGTGCATTTGTATATCGTAAATAGTAACTGTAATTCTATTTTAAATTTAAATGTATTCCTTAGAATCAGCGGTGCTGAGAGGACTGGGCGGCAGTCGAAGGCGGAGACCTCGGCGACCCAGTCCGCACACACAACATCTGGCTCTTAAATTAACAATTGTAAACCGCTTTGAGACTCAGATCTGCAGTGAAAAGGCGGTATATAAATAAAGATTACTTACTTACTTACTTACTTACTCTTGGGACGTGGAACGTCACCTCACTGGGGGGGAAGGAGCCCGAGCTCGTGGGGGAGGTTGAGCGATACCGACTAGAGATAGTTGGCCTCACCTCCACACACAGCTTGGGCTCCGGAACCCAACTCCTTGAGAGGGGTTGGACGCTCCACTTTTCTGGAGTTTCCCGCGGGGAGAGGCGGCGAGCTGGGGTGGCCATTCTCATTGCCCCCCATCTCAGCCGCCACGTGTTGGAGTTCTCCCCGGTGAATGAGAGGGTCGAGTCCCTCCGCCTCCGGGTGGGGGACAAGTCTCTCATTGTTGTGACGGCCTACGGGCCTAACAGCAGTGCAGAGTACCCGGCCTTCTTGGAGTCCTTGGGAGGGGTACTGGACGGTGCACCGCCCGGGGACTCCGTTATTCTCCTGGGGGACTTCTACGCCCATGTGGGAAACGCCAGTGTCACTTGGAGAGGGGTGATCGGGAAGAACGGTCCCCCTGATCTGATCCCGAGCGGTGTTCAGTTGTTGGACTTCTGTGCCAGTCACAGTTTGTCCATCACGAACACCATGTTCGAGCACAAGGGTGTCCACCAGTGCACGTGGCACCAGGACACCCTAGGCCGGAGGTCGATGATTGACTTTGTTGTCGTATCATCTGACCTTCGACCGCGTGTCTCGGACACTCGGGTAAAGAGAGGGGCGGAGCTGTCAACCGATCATCACCTGGTCGTGAGTTGGATCCGCTGGCAGGGGAAGAAGCCGGTCAGACCTGGCAGACCCAAGCGTATAGTGAGGGTCTGCTGGGAACGTCTCGCTGAGCCCCCTGTCAGACGGACTTTCAACTCACACCTCCGGGAGAGTTTCTCCCAGGTCCCGGCGGAGGAGGGGGACATGGAGTACGAGTGGACCATGTTCTCTGCCTCAATCGCCGATGCGGCGGCTCATAGCTGTGGTCGCAAGGTCTCTGGTGCTGGTCCCGGCGGCAACCCCCGAACCCGGTGGTGGACACCGGCAGTAAGGGATGCTGTCAGGCTGAAGGAGTCCTATCGAGCCATGATGGTTCGGGGGACTCCTGAGGCAGCTGTCCAGTACCGGCAGGCCAAGCGTGCCGCGGCCCGGGCTGTTGCAGAGGCAAAAACCCGGGACTGGGAGGAGTTTGGAGAGTCCATGGAGCATGACTATCGGTCGGCCTCGAAGAGATTCTGGCAAACCATCCGGCGCCTCAGGAGGGGGAAGCAGTTCTTTGCCAACACCATGTACGGTGCGGGTGGAGAGCTGCTGACCTCGACTGGGGATATTGTCGGGCGGTGGAAGGAATACTTTGAGGTTCTCCTCAATCCCCCCGTCACGTCCTCTGTTACAGAGGCAGAGGCTGAGGATGTTGGGGCGGATACATCCATCTCCCTGGCTGAGGTCACCAAGGTGGTTGGCAGCCTCCATGGTGACAAGGCTCCGGGTGTGGATGAGATCCGCCCTGATTATCTAAAGTCTCTGGATGTTGTAGGACTGTCTTGGCTGACACGTCTCTGCAACATCGCGTGGCGATCGGGGGCGGTGCCAATGGAGTGGCAGACTGGGGTGGTGGTCCCTCTCTACAAGAAGGGGGACCGGAGGGTGTGTTCCAATTATTGTGGGATCACACTCCTCAGCCTCCCCGGTAAGGTCTACTCCAAGGTACTGGAGAGGAGGCTACGGCCGATGGTCGAATCTCGGATCCAGGAGGAGCAGTGTGGTTTTCGTCCCGGTCGCGGAACACTGGACCAGCTCTATACTCTCCATCGGATACTCGAGGGTTCATGGGAGTTCGCCCAACCTGTCCACATGTGCTTTGTGGATTTGGAGAAGGCGTTCGACTGTGTTCCCGGGGTGTCCTTTGGGGGGTTCCCCGGGAGTACGGGGTCGGAGGTCCTCAGCTGAGGGCCATCCGATCCCTGTATGACCGGAGCCAGAGCTGTGTTCGCATTGCCGGCAGTAAGTCAGACCTGTTCCCGGTGAATGTTGGCCTCCGACAGGGCTGCCCTTTGTCACCGGTTCTGTTCACTGTATTTATGGACAGAATTTCTAGGCGCAGCCAGGGGTCGGAGGGGGTCAGGTTCGGAGACCACAGGATTTCATCTCTGCTGTTTGCGGACGATGTTGTCCTGTTGGCTCCAACGAACCAGGATCTGCAGCATGCACTGGGGCGGTTTGCAGCCGAGTGTGAAGCGGCTGGGATGAGAATCAGCACCTCCAAATCCGAGGCCATGGTGCTCGACCGGAAAAAGGTGCCTTGCCCTCTACAGGTGGGTGGAGAGGTCCTTCCTCAAGTGGAGGAGTTCAAGTATCTCGGGGTCTTGTTCACGAGTGAGGGAAGAATGGAGCGTGAGATTGACAGGCGGATCGGTGCAGCGTGCGCAGTGATGCGGTCGCTGTATCGGACCGTTGTGGTAAAGAGGGAGCTGAGCCGAAAGGCAAAGCTCTCGATTTACCGGGCAATCTTTGTTCCCTCCCTCACCTATGGTCATGAGCTTTGGGTAATGACCGAAAGAACGAGATCGCGGATACAAGCGGTCGAAATGAGCTTCCTCCGCAGAGTGGCTGAGCGCTCCCTTAGAGATAGGGTGAGGAGCTCAGTCACACGGGAGGAGCTCGGAGTAGAGCCGCTGCTTCTCCACGTCGAGAGGAACCAGTTGAGGTGGCTCGGGCATCTATTCCGGATGCCTCCTGGACGCCTCCCTGGGGAGGTGTTCCGGGCACGTCCCACCGGGAGGAGGCCCCGCGGAAGACCTAGGACACGCTGGAGGGACTATGTCTCTCAGCTGGCCTGGGAACGCATTGGGGTCCCCCCGGATGAGCTGGAGGAAGTGTGTGTGGATAGGGAAGTCTGGGCGTCTCTGCTTAGACTGCTGCCCCCGCGACCCGGCAACGGATAAAGCAAAAGAAAATGGATGGATGGATGGATGGATGTATTCCTTAGAAGTGTTTTTTACTCTTTATTTTTTATGATCTCTTTCTGACTGTTGCACTGAGCCAAAGCAATTTCCAAGTCTGTGACTTCTTGTTACTTACTAGGGTTTAATCCCGGGACACGGGATTCCCGGGAAATCTGATCAAAACTATTTCCCGATTCCCGGGAAATGTTATGACGGGAAACGGGAAATGAAAGTTTTTTTAAAAATCCAGTGCGCTCCTATTATAGAGCACGTTTATTGTTGTTCAAAGTTCAAACATATTTCATTTACAATCAACATGTCTACAGCTGAGAGGATGGCTCATAAATTGTGTTTTTGACAACAAATATGGGTCTTAATCGCGCTAAACCATGACTTGTAATGAGGCTAGCCTCAGGGTACGGGGCACATGTGAGCCCAGAATTTGGCTACGTCCAATTCTATCAGAAAGCTCCTTTCTTTTTTCCATCTGCTAAGGGCAGCAACAGGTTTGGCTAACATACATATAACACATTTTAAGATCATATAAAATGCATTTAGGGTAATGTTCTGCTTCCAATGACGATAGGAATGATAAGGAAGAGAGGAGAAGGGTAAGAAAGTTGATATTAGAAATTGGATGCGCCCGAGAGCCGGCTGCAGCGAAAACACAGAGGAGTTTATGGAGGTGGCACTCGTTTTGTTTTACGCTTTAAAACTCTTTGGGCTTATTTCCAAATGGGGGATTACATATCTGTGCTTAAACATGAAACTGGTCTGAACTGAAGTGGTCTGTGCTGTTCATTAATAACTAAGGTAAGACCCATAACACAATTGGAAATGTGCCTTTTTCGAACTTTTGCGTTTTGTTTGAGCAAACAATGCGGGCCATGTAAAACATTCTGCTGTAGCCAAACTAATTGTGAATAAGCCGCTTTGTAGGTTGATTTATATGATTTATATGATATATGTTCATCTGATTGGGCTGAAGTCAGTGCCTCCAAACCACACCGCACGTCACAGGTCGACAAGTGGATTGCGCAGACATTTAGAATCTCATAATAGTGAAATTCCTGAAGAAAGCCCATCAACAAAACGTCTGAAAACGCTATGGCTACTTTAGAAAAGCTAGCAAGTCGCTTGGTGAAACACTAGTGGAGATGGCAGCTTTTGTTGGATTATATATTTGAGTGATATCATACATTACTTGGGCTAAAAACAACAACTACAAACAACAGCTATTTCCCGGGATTTCCTGGGAAAGGCGTCGTCTTTTCCCGGGATTTGATACGTCTCATTTTCGGGAAAAATATTAAACCCTATTACTTACGTGGCAATAAAAATGATTCTGATTCTGATGATGGCCGTGTAGAACTGCACCAACATCTGTGCAGGCAGCTTGGCTTTCCTGAGCTGCCTCAGTAAGTAGATCTACTTCTGGGCCTTGTTGATGAGGGAGCAGATGGTCGGCTCTCACTTGAGGTCCTGGGTGATGGTGGTGCCCAGGAAACAAAAGGACTCCGGAGAGGTAATGGGGGAGTCCATCAGGGAGGGTGGGGGCGGGGGGACTGTGTTCTTCCTGAAGACAAAAATCATCCCCCCTGTCTTTTGGGCATTCAGCTCCAGGTTGTTACCACTGCACCAGGACACCAGCTAGTCCACCTTCCTCCAGTAGGCGGACTCATCATTGTTGGAGATGAGTCCAATGAGGGTGGTGTCGTCCGCGAACTTGATCAGCTTCACGGAGTCGTGGCTGGAGGTGCAGTGGTTGGTGTACAGGGAGAAGAGCAGGGAAGAAAGAACACAGCCCTGTGGGGCCCCTGTATTTATAATCAGAGAGTCCGAGACATTCTTCCCCAGACGCACACGCTGCTTCCTGTACTTCAGGAAGTCAGTGATCCGCCTGTAGATAGAGATATTTGGCAGGTGCTGTTTTACCAAGAAACCTCTTTTGACACGCTGTCAGTCGTCCTTCAGCTCCGTGGCTTTGACAAAAACTCAATTGAGACCAAAGCAGTGCACATTCACCAGTTTGGAGACCTGAGCTCTGGCTTTGGCTCCCCTAGGGGCCACTACTACCCTCACAACCGCCCCACCCTGGACCCGCTGCAGTTCGCCTACAGATCCAACATCGGAGTAGAGGACGCCGTCATCTACTTCCTGCAGCGGACGCTCTCCCACCTGGAGCCCGCCGGGAGCGCTGTGAGGGTCATGTTTTTCGACTTCTCCAGCGCTTTCAATACCATCAAGCCGGCACTGCTGCAGGGGAAGATGGAGGACGCGGGAGTGGACAGTAGCCTCACTGCATGGACCATCAACTAGCTCTCAGACCGACCACAGTACGTGCGGCTGCGCAGCTGTGAGTCTGAGGTGGTCGTCTGCAGCACTGGGGCCCCTCAGGGCACTGTCTTCTCACTGTTTCTCTTCACCTACACCTCAGACTTCACACACGACACACACAGCTGTCACCTGCAGAAGTTCTCCGATGACTCCGCCATCGTGGGCTGTGTGTCTGGGGGGAGCGAACTGGAATATCGGTCGGTTATCAAGGACTTTGTCGACTGGTGTGAGTGCAACCACTTGTGCTTGAACACCAGTAAGACCAAGGAGATGATCATCGACTTCAGGAGAAAACCACTTTCCCACACGCTGCTGAACATCCAGGGGGAGGACATTGAGCTGGTGGACAGCTTCAAGTACCTGGGTGTTCACATTAACAATAAACTGGACTGGTCCCATAATACAAACGCCCTGCACAAGAAGGGCCAAAGTTGCCTCTTCCTTCTGAGGAGGCTGAGGTCCTTCGGAGTGAGCAGGCCTCTGCACAGGACTTTTTATGACTCTGTGGTAGCTTCTGCCATTTACTACGCTGCCGTGTGCTGGGCCCCGGGCAGCACAGAGCGGGACAGAAACAGACTTAACAAGCTGGTCAGGAGGGCCAGCTCCACTCTGGGCTGCTCCCTGGACTCTGTGGAGGAGGTGAGGGACAGGAGGGTGCTAGCCAAAGCCACCTCCATCATGAACAATACCTCCCACCCACTGCACAGGACTGTAGAGGAGCTGAGGAGCTCCTTCAGTGGAAGACTGAGACACCCTCAGTGTAGGAAGGAGCGCTACCGCAGGGCCTTTATCCCTACCGCTGTCAGACTGTACAATAAGTCACTTTAAATGATCACTGTGTGAAAACCTGCACTACTATTGACACTGTTTCCAATTGACACTTGTCACTTTTGTTGTACATAATTATTGTCACTTTTATTGTACATATATATCCTGCATGTAACATGTTTGCACATTTCCTCCCTTTGCACAATCTGAGTGTCTCTATCCATGCCAAATGTGACATGTACATTTCTCCTATGTGAGATAAATAAAGCTTATCTTATCTTATCTTATCTTAACCATCTACAGCATCCAGGAGACTTCGGCAACTTCCTTATCCAGGACAGGCGCATCATCATTGCCCTCCAGTCTCAGGCCAAACCGTTTGGAGAGCACTTGATCCTCTGCAGAGCCGTAGTCAACCACCTGAACCAAGACGACCAGGGGCAGGGAGGCAATGATTCTAGTCTGAAGAATGGGAATGCTGGCCACAGGGTTGGCTGCTGCTGCTTCATTGGGGTCACCTCTTGTGCTCCTTGGAACAAACACTCTTCAGTTTGAGCCCCAAGAGATCTAGAGAGAATTAGTGAGACAAACCAGTGGTAATCAAAAAAGTGGCTTGTTGCTTTAGGCAAATACAGGCTGGTTATAATGCAAAACGTATCAACATATTGGTTACATTAATCACTCAGCAAATAACTGGACAGTGATGGGCAAGCTACTTGATTTGTGTAGTGAGCTAAGCTACAAACTACTCTACAATAAATTCAGCTTCACTGCACAGAAGCTACCACCCATAAAAATGTAGCAAGCTAAGTTACAGAATCCTGTCAAAAGTAGCTTGAAATATAGAAGCTACTTTCAATTAAACAGATAAAGGTTAGAATTTAGATATTTATTGAACAATAGCCCAAAACACCAAAATAAAACACAAGAATGCCTTTTGCAATTGTAAACAATATAAATTGAGAAATTATAGCAATGAGCTATCACCAATTAACATATATTTCATAAGAATTGTTTTTGTTGTTTGTAACAATAGCCTAATATACACATAACAAATGTCAATCAGAGCCGAGTAATGGCTCTATTTAAGCAAGAATGCCCTTTGAAATTGCAAACAAAATTACATATATATAAGTTTAAAAATGAACTGTGCTAAGGACCCATTTAGGAAAACAATCGTAACACCCTTATTATCAGTCACAGAGGAACTTTCTCTTGGGATTACAAAGTAGGCATCTGAAAACATATTTCTGTTTGCTCGTCTCGGCTAAAGTTTGTACTTTTGGGCGGCATGGTGGCTGAGTGGATAGCACTCTCGCCTCTCAACAAGAAGGTCCTGGGTTCGAATCCCGGTCGGACCAGGGCCTTTCTGAGTGGAGTTTGCATGTTCTCCCCGTGTCTGCGTAGGTTTCCTCCGGGTACTCCGGTTTCCCCTACCACTAAAAATATGTACAATAGGTCTGGCATGCGCCTCCTGTACTGGTGCCCCCGCTCCCATCTCTGTGTGGAGAGACAAATGCCCAAAAAAAAATAACACTTGTAAACCGCTTTGAAACTCAGATCTGCAGTGAAAAGGCGGTATATAAATACTTACTTTTGGAGGTATGACCACAATAACTGTTTGAGAGTCCTCCGCGACCGCGCCTCCTGGGCTCTCTGCCGTCCTGTTGCTTATGCATGCGCGCCGTCACCAAGGCATGTGCATTAGCATTCTGTCTTCCTAATTTGTTTGTTTTGGCTGCGGGAAAATGCTGTAATATATGAACATCCGAAATGTACGTGAGAAAATAGCTTTGGAGGGCGCTACCGTGCTAAATGATCAATAAAATAGATGGAGTGACGTGACTTCCTGTATCCGGTGAGCGTGTTTCTTGACTGCTATCACTCTGCTCTCTGTTTGCACTAACAAACACATTACAAATCCACGTATTGTACACCAAGCTAACTGTGTAAGCACTCCGAGTCAGCTGTACTGTAGCTGAGGTTTAGGTAGCGGTTGTTTGTCTGGTCTCGGAGTCTGTTGTGCGGGCCCGGATCCGTACTAGCTTAGCCTAGCCTAGCTTAGCCTAGCCTAGCCGCTAACTCGCTACTATGGCGGCTGCTGTCTCTCCCTCAATCCTTTACTGCTCGAGTTGCCATATGGCGAGTCTAAACCCTGGATCCTTCTCTGAGGGTAGTGATAGATGTGTGAAGTGTAGTGTAGTCGTAGCTCTGGAATCCAGGGTCAGTGAGTTAGAGCTGCGTCTCCGAGCACTGGAGTCTCGAGCTAGCGCTAGCATTCGCTACAGCCAGGCCGTATCCTCAGGGACAGCGGAGCGCAGCTTTAGGGAAAGGCAGAGGAGAACTAGCGAGCCTAGCCTCCCAGCCCGTCCTCCGCAGCTGGGACAAGACCAGGATAGTGATGGCTTTGTGACTGTTCGGAGAGGGCACGTGTTGTTGGTAGTTTCCCCATTGGGCCTCCTCCTGTTAGCATTTACAATCGCTGGGACGCTCTGTCCGGCTGCGCCCCCGCGCGGCCGGGCGGGGAAGAAGGCCCCACTGAGAGAGCCGCTGAGAGAGCTGCTGAGAGAGCCGATGGAGTCGCTGATGCGCTGGTAATTGGCTCCTCTATTGTTAGAGGTGTTAAGATCCCAGGAGCCACTGTTCGGTGCTTCCCTGGGGCCAGGCTTGGTGATATTGAAGGGAATCTGAGGCTCATGATGACCCACAAGCAGCGTTTCCGTCGAATTGTTATTCACGCGGGTGGTAATGACGTTCGGCGGAAACAGTCCGAGGTGTTGAAGCTGCAAGTCGCCGCCGTGTGCAAGCTGGCTAGCACAATGGCCGACACTGTCATCTTCTCTGGGCCCCTACCTAGCACTAGCAGTGCAGAAGCATTCAGCAGACACTCGGCTTTCAACCGCTGGCTGTCTGGCTGGTGCCCTCGAAGTGGTGTTGTTCATGTTGACAATTGGAGTGCCTTTTGGGGAAAGCCCGGTCTCATCCGCTCGGATGATATCCACCCAACGTTGGCGGGTACATCCCTTTTGGCTAAGAATTTGGCCCTGGCTCTAAACTGTTCTGCCGGCTCAAATGACGTGCAGAACTGAGGCCCGGGTGCAGAGCTGCTCTGCCACAACCTCTGAGCCCCATCTGTTCAGTTACTAGCCTCAGAAGCTAGTCAGATTGAAACTGTGTGTGTGTGTGTGTGTATGCCTGTGTATGCTCAGTTACTAGCCTCAGAACCTAGTCAGATTGAAACTGTGAGTGTTCCTCGCTTGAAGTCTAAAGCACTATATGAGGAAATCTGACCTGGGTGTCAGACACAGTAACTTAATAAAAGTTCAGACAGACAGAAATAGTTCTAACAGTAGGGTTGTTAAATGTGGTTTAATGAACGTCAGATCAATCTCGTCTAAATCGCTTCTCATAAACGAACTTATTATAGACAAGGGCTTGGATCTGTTTAGCGCTCTCGGAGACTTGGCTCCAACAGGACGACTACGTTAGATTGAATGAGTGCACTCCTCCACGCATGTTAACTACCAGAAAGCCAGAGCTACAGGTCGCGGCGGTGGTGTTGCGATTATATCACACACCAACTTGGTTCTTAGTCCCAAAACCAACAACGCTTTTCACTCGTTTGAAAACTTAACACTTTCAATCACCTGTCCTGGGTGGAGAAAACAAAAAGCAGTACTATTTATAGTTTTATACCGACCTCCTGGTCCTTACAGCGAGTTCCTAACAGAATTCTCTGACTTCATTTCAAACCTAGTTTTGGAATGGGAAAACATAGTTATAGCTGGAGACTTCAATATACATGTGGACGACAGCACTGACAGCTTAAACAAAGCTTTCAGCGCCGTACTAGATGGTGTTGGTTTTACTCAGAATGTCGAGGAACCTACTCACATTCATAACCACACCTTGGACCTTGTCCTGACCTACGGCTGTGATGTCTCCAATGTTGACATCCAGCGTCAAAGCTCGTTGCTGTCTGACCATTTCTTGATCACGTTTGATCTCGATTTGGAGGACTTTCCTGTCCCGCAAGATAAAACCATAATGAAAAGAACCTTAAATGATAAATCTATCACAAGGTTCAAAGAACTAATACAGCCTATGTTGAATACTGCTGCAGGTGAACCTGTTCACAGCAGCTGCAGTCCCTCAGTCATTGACCAAACGGTGGGCAACACTATGGAGTCTTTAAAATCTGCATTAAATGCAGCAGCTCCTTTAAAACAGAAAACCATTAGGATTAGATCATCGTCGCCCTGGTACAGTGTTCAACTCCACACTTTAAAACAGGACGTCAGAAAATTGGAGAGGCTATATCGCCACTCCCACTCGGAGCCTGTCCACAGGGAGTGGAAAGCAGGTCTCCGAAACTACAAGAAGGCCCTTCGCGGGGCTCGAACTCAATACTATTCAACTTTAATAGAAGCCAATAAAAACAACAGTAGATTTTTGTTTGGTACCGTCGCTAAACTCACAAACTGCCATAGCGCAATCGAGCCTAAAATTCCAAGCTCACTGAGCAGTGTCGACTTTCTCCACTTCTTTAATAATAAAATTACATCCATCCGTGACAAGCTGGAGGAGGTTGCTCCTGCTGTTAGTGGTGGACAGGTTGAAGCGGCATACGTGACTTCCCACTTGACTCTTCAGTGGGCCTTAATAAATTCATGGCTGTGAGCCAAGCAGAGGTGATCTCTGTGGTCACATCCTCAAAAGCCTCAACTTGCATGTTAGACGCAGTCCCGACATGGCTCTTCAAAGACATACTTCCTTTGATAATTGAGCCTATCGTAAATATAATAAACGCATCCATACAATGTGGCTATGTCCCACAAGCTTTTAAAACCGCGGTAATCAAACCCCTTCTGAAGAAAACAAACCTGGACCCAGAAATACTTACAAACTACAGACCGATCTCAAACCTCACTTTTATATCTAAAATCCTGGAAAAACTTATAGCTGAGCAGCTCCGCTGCCACCTGCAGGAAAATGATATGTTTGAAGTCTTTCAATCAGGATTCAGAGCTCATCATAGCACTGAAACGGCACTAGTCAAAGTCACAAATGACTTACTACTAGCTGCCGATAATGGACAAGTGTCAGTGCTGGTCCTACTGGACCTTAGTGCTGCATTTGACACAATAGACCACAGCATTCTACTGCAGAGGCTAGAATGTGATATAGGTCTTAGAGGAACAGCCCTTGGCTGGTTTAAATCCTATTTATCAGATCGATATCACTTCGTCAATGTGAATCAGGACTCGTCGCCTTATTCTGGAGTGGAATTCGGTGTGCCGCAGGGTTCGGTACTCGGACCGATTCTTTTTACTCTCTACATGCTGCCACTGGGAAACATTATTAAAAAGCATGGAATTAATTTCCACTGCTATGCAGATGACACACAGCTTTATCTGTCGATGAAGCCAAATCAGACAGATCAGCTAGAAAAGCTCAGTGCCTGCATAAAGGACCTTAAAATGTGGATGACTCTTAACTTCCTACTTCTCAACCCGGAGAAGACAGAAGTGATCCTACTCGGTCCGAAGCGCCTG